ACTTCAAGGACTTATCTGGAAACAGGCTCTCTTTCTACTCATTAGGGAGTCGAATAGGACAATAAAAAAATGCAAGGAGAAAATAGGCAGGAATTACATGGTTCATGTTGACTTGATCAAGAAGTCTTCAGTACTGATGATAGCTCTGAGCGGTGGGAAAACTGACCACGAACTGTTTGATATTATCTGCATAGTTTCAGACAGAGTCTTGGGTATTTGGAGGACTTATGCAAGCAGAGGATGACACAAGAGTGCAGACAGATTTTGAGTTTCCCTGTGAAAAGAAAATAGTGGGAGGGATGCAAGGAGTGTTTCTTTTCCAGTCTCCACCACAGAAGTTTCTTTGGGACTCATGCATCAGGATATACATGTCCTCTTTGCTGGTAGAGATCCTTGGAAAATTAACTGATTGCCTTACTTCCTTGGGATGAAACTGCTGTTGTGGTATTCTGCATTGTGCTAGAGTGGAGGAACATACTTGTTCTCCATTCCCAAACAGCTGGGATAGATTTGGCCATTATTTGCAATTTCCATTGTTATGGGCCATAGTGGGGGTGTGATTCTCAGGAAGGGCTGGCAGCTACAATGAAACATGATTTTTTTTTGTTCCTTGCAGTTCAGCTACTGTTCAGTATGCTTTCCTGAGCCCAGCACAGTGGGTCTAGTCCAGTACAGTGTTCTTGCATGGTTTGTACTTTTCCCTGTAAGCCACGCGTGCTCAGAGACCTTGTTGCTGCCATTTCCTTTCAGCAGTGTGAGGATCTGTTTAGAACTGCTCACAGTGACATGTTGTGGAGCACTGGTTTCCACTGGAGTTAAGGGCTATAAACTGATGTGGCTATTAGTGTCGCTCAGCTACTGAAATGAGTAAGAAAGTTCACAGGACCAAAAAAACTAATTCCAAAACATAACATAACCTTCTGTACTGACCCTCAGTGAAAGTGCTCTCCAGAAACATCACTATATTAAGAGTTTTATGACTATTAAGTTGCCAACCACTCTGCAGCCCCCTCAGCAGAGAGTTTAAGAGATGAGAGCATCTTCCCTAGCAGCTCCTGGCAGAGCAATTTGGCTGCTCAGTGCTGGTAGGGATTTGCAGACCCTGGGTTGGGATCCAGTTTCTCTGTTCTGACATGGAAAAATTGCCCGCAAAAATGAATGCTTGCTAGTTGCTTGTTATCTTTTTTGAGCTCTATGCCTCTTTGCTGGCTGGTCCAGTGGTACTTGAGAACTATCTTGTGGTATCATTATCTAGGTGTATCTAAGAAGCTGAGTGCAGCCAATCTCTTTCTCCTCCATTTGCCTCAAAACTTTACATATCTGGTCATATACAATACAACCAACATGCAGATTCTTCAACTTGCACAGGACTTTAAACCCCTCATGTGGTTCCTATGTTTCCATTCTACTTTATCAAATTTCAGCCCTCTGGACCTTTGCTCATTTCTTTTCTTTGGCCTCTACATGTTAGGTTTTGTAAGTGTGCAGTTAGCAACCTGAAGCAAATTTGTAGAATCGGGTTGCTTTTTCTCTGCTCTGTGCTGCTTGCCCAGATGGACATCTTCAAATGTTTATTTGAAGTGAGAAAGCTGATGGGGATTTGTGGAGAATATTCAGAATGTGTACTTTTCTGGGGACATGGAAGGAGATTTAAATGAAACGAGATCAAAGTGCTTTGTTCTCAGTTCAAGGACTTTACACATCCTTTGCTTAGCTATCTGGAGCCTAAAAGCAAAAGTGAGATTCATACAAAGTGAGTAGATGGATGTATGCTCTGGGGGTGGAAGGTTTCAGGCTGCCTCCTCTGGAATCAGCATTACTGAACTCCAGTGCTTGTAGTGCAGCTCACACTGACAGCAGAGCAATGGTGTCTTAAGGATGACTTTCATCAGGACTGGCTGATCTGCTCTGTCTTGCTATTGCTATTGCTGATTGCTGATTGGTTGAGTAATTGGTTGAGTAATTCAGAAACTGTAGTACTGGTGAAGGGATTGGAGGAAGAAGGCAATAGTACGCACCATAGAAGGTGAGTAAATGAACTGCACCATGCTGGGCCTTCACAAAGCTCATTGGGACACTATCACATGCTGTCTTCAAAGGAAATAACTTCCTGCTATTGTTTTCAGTGAATGAGCAAGCTGATTTCCACGTGGCTGAGAGCCACGAGGGGTGTTGAGGACATTCTCAAATGAGATATATTCCAGAAATCAATGTATGTATTATCTCATCTGTGCCAAGACTTACATTAGCAGGGTTGACAGCAAAAAACTCTCTTGTTTCTCTAGATTCTTGAAACTGGGAAGCTGTCCAGGAAATATTAGAAGCTAGACAGCCAATAGCTGTATTTCACTTTTATTGTTCAAGGTGTAAACAAACAGGGAGAAAAGTACACAGCCTGGATATTTTCATGTACAGCCTGATGCCAGGACTCTCCCACTGGCTTAACTGAATGTCTCTCATTGAACAGTATTTCCCTGAGTGCAGATATTGCTTACAAGAGTAGAGGGAGAATTTTCATGCTTTTTAATCTGAAAGTTTTGCAATTTGCACACTCTCAGCAAAGATGGGAGCAAAGGTTTTTCCCGGTCTGAAAATGCAAACTCTAAATGCTGATAAATACTAAGAACTGCTGTTATGGTGTTTTGAGAGTTATCTTTGGGAAACACATGTGTGTGGATGGAGCAGGACTCCCTTTTTCAATTTAATGGCAGAAGCAATAAAAAGCCGAGCAAACAAATGCTTTTAGCCCAGGAGCAGCAGCTCATCCTTGCGAGCTGTGCTTGCTCAGTCTCAGCACGCCCTGCTATTGCAGCCGGTCACTGCAAGAAGTGTCGCACAGATTTCTGTGAGCATGTGAAATGTGGACACTCAGTGTAGTTAATGTGAGCCTAAATTGGATTACTGAGCTCTCTCCCATGCTAGAGGAGGTAGGACCACACCATTAACACAGATTGTACAACAAAAGCCATGTTTATTTTTGTGCTTCTTTCATCATCTTCTGTTCCTTGTTCATCTGACCCACATCGTTTGGAAGGTGCATCAGTCTTCCTTCTGAGGAACAGTTCCAATTGCAAACTGATCAAGAAATTTCTGATCAAAGGTGTGTTTGATCTTTGGTTTTATTCAGCATTTTCAAAGGAGAATGATTGTTACAACATCTCTACTGCACTTCATAGTGTGCTTAAGTTCCTGCTTATGCCTAAACCAGAGACTTGCTTTTTCCTAGTTGTAGAGTGTTTGCTGACCTCATTATGATAAGCAACCCCACATATTCAAACAGCATTATTATGTGTATGTGGAAATAAAAAGGGAATAGTCAGTGTTTGAAGGGGACAGTGGGAGTTAAATGGGAAAAGTTGGAACAGAATGTAAGGAGAAGAACAAGTGCTGGGGTCCAATGATTGCTCGTGTTTGTGCAGTGCTTTGCACAGGAGATGGCTTATGGTATTTGTCAGTAGATCACAAGCAGCAATGGCAGCAGCTGTCCTTCCTCCATGCAAACACCACGATCTTAATCTAGTGCTAATTTCGTAAGTTAATTTTAGCTTATATTTTAGGTGACAGCCTAATGGCTTTTAAGGATTATACCTACATGCATCAGCCTCGTGGCAATATCCTCTCATATGTGGGTGTAAATTATGTAACGGTTGATCTGCTGATTGAGAAGGAGCTGAGCCAGGATTTTTGTCCTTCGTTTTATGTGGAGTAGCAATGGCTGTGGCTGTGTGCTGCCAGGGCTGAGGCCATCAAGGTGCAGGCAGCACCCTGGTGTTTGCTGCCTTACGGTTTGTTTCCTAGCTCAGCAATGTTCCCATACAATGTTACAAGTTTTTCATGCTGCCCAGATCTCAGACCTTCCTCTGTATGCAAATGATGATAAAGGATTGCATTGCTCAGAGTCAGTTTTCAGTCCCAGGCTGGTCATCCAGGGAAGGCAGGCCAAGGCAAACTGAAATGATTGCATGGACCGTCAGGAAGCTCCTTTCTTCTGGGGTTGTTACTCGGGACCCCTGTGCCTGCAATGCATGGTGCCATCCCACAGCACCCAGCCAGCCCAGTGCACACCTGCTCCCAAGCACAGCACTCCTGGCACGCACCTGATTGACTGCACAGCCCACACGTAGCGGTGTTTAAAACACTGAAATAGCCTGTCTTCCTCCCTTCATCTTGACAGTTGATTTTAATCAGTGTTATCAACTGTTTGAAGCACTGAATCCTCTGAAGTGCTCTTGCAGGAGATGCTGCGTGAAGCGGAGGTGTGGTACCAGGGATGTGCACAGGAGCTTTGCCCAAGAGGAGGTGACTTGAAACCCTTGTTTTGCAGCTCATGGCTCATGGTCCTTCTTGGCTTGCTGCTGTCTGCAATAGGGTACAGCTTGATTCCCACACTATAGTGAAAGCAACTTTGTTTGCACAACTTTTCTGAGGTTCAGCATGAAAGGAAAAGCCCTTATTATGCCTTCCTGCCCACCCCAGTGCTGCAGTGTCCTTTGTTAAAAAAATAAGTTATTTTGATACCTGGATTGCTGTTTATTTGTGGCTTTTCATTACTTTAATTAATTTCAATCTGTTTCTAAAACAGAAGTGAAATACATCATTGATTTTGCTGGGTGTGGACTTGCTATATGCCCAGTCTGAAGTGAAGGCAGCGATTTGCAATGCATTGAGAGAAATTATATGCTACTAGTACATTAACGCTGATTTCTGATTAATATTTTTAGGTGGCAGTAGAAAAGAATACGGTAACAGCAGGAAAGCCATAGATCAAATAATGTCTTCCCTCTTGTCATGCTTCTGTGCTGAGACATGTATTGTTAGGTTTACTCATTTAATAACATATTCTGATTTTTAAGTGTTTAACAATCAGCCTCTGCTTTTATGCCTAGGAATAACCAGGGGAGTAGGGAAGAGGAGAGGCAAATAACTGCTTACTTGCAGTGAAAGGCCTGCATGAAATCTCCTGTCACCTGAGTTACAGAGTGAGAAGCCATTGCTTGGCTGCAGTTAGCAGACGGGCTCCTCCAGTATTCCCCACTTCCCTTGAGGCCACTACTAAATCGAGGAGCAAGCTCTGGTCTATGGGAACTGGTAATGCTCACAGCTCTGGGCTCTGACTCAATTACACAAGCAGTTTTGCTGTGAGGTGCTCAGGAGGTGCCCAGCTGCCTCCAGGAGATGCTACATGTCACCTCTGTGGGCAGAGTCATTCTCTTGTGGTCAGGAAATGGCTCTCTGGCCACTCAGGCTCTGTGCGTCATCTCCTCTGCCCCAGAAGAGCAGTCCTGTTTGTCCCCCCCCGGCTCTTTTTTCTGTCTCCTTCATCATATGATGCTGCAGTGCCCAAGGTGCTCTCTGCTGTTCCTTGGTCATTTTATCCCTCTGCAATTGTGGGGAAGTTGAGCTGTGACCTGTAACAGAAGCCAGTGGGGTGATGTACACAGCATACCAACTGGCTGATCTGTTGCTTAATTGCTGCATAAAACATGCAGAAGCACTTGAGGTCAGTTAGAAAAGGTGGGCTGTTGGCAGGAAAGAAGAATTTGAGCTTGAAAAAAAATAATTACACCATTTTTAAAATATTAACAACTACTCAGAAGAGGTTTTTACATATATTCACGGGGGTTTTAAGCATTCATTCCATGTTAGTATTGCTAAGTGATTCTATATTCCTTTTCTTAAGCGATTTCTGCATTCCTACTAACCAACAATCATTTTGTCTGAATCTCATTTCCTTGTAATAGCAAACCCATCAATCTCTGCTTTATTAAACAGAAGCGTGCTTGCGCTCAAATTTGATCAAAGAAGTTAAGCAAACCATTGATTTTAATTTACAGCAATATCCACTTCTTCCATTATTAACAGATTCAAATTACGGAGACTGAATAATTAACAAATCTTCCCACTTGATGATGGATCAAAAAGCAAATGAGCAAAAACATCTTCCAGAGAAATGCCCTTCCTTCACCCCAAGCACTGTGCACGCTATTTAACACTCCCCAGGGGAGCAACACCACGGGCCATGGGAGAAATGCTTTCTGTAGAGACCTCCCAAGTGCTTCTGAAACTGTTGTCACAGCAAATGCTCCGTGGACATGTGTGCCAGTGCCTGTTTCTGACCTAATCCAAGAGGTAGATTGGATACCAGAGAAAATTTCTTCTGCAGCAGAGTGCAAAGGGAAAGTTTTGGAGCAGGTGCAGAGCTCATCCAGCTGAACCCACAAGCAGGGCTCACAGTGACTCTCCCATCTGTAGACACTGCAGGGTGCAGGGAGAGACAAGGTTCTCAAATAACACAGAGATGAGAATTGTGTGGGAAAAGCAGAAGGGTGAGCAAAGCTAGATAAGACGGAATATAAATCGAGCCCTCTGCCTGGCTCTGTACAAACATCATCATTCTCCCTACTGCCATGCCAGCATATGTGCGCTGCCACGCTCTGGGTGAAGGAACAACTTTTGTGAGGAGCCATTCCGTGCAGTGTGACATTTCATTTCACAGATGTAGCCATGGAGTTTGCCTATTGTGAGGGCTCAATTTAGGCAGGCACAATTACAGCTCCTGGAGGTGCCTTTGATCCCAGCGTCCCTATTGTGCCTGAGCTTTTCATCTGCCCCATACCCAGCTAGCTGGCTTGTGGCTGAGACCTGCCTTTGAAGTTGTTTCTTTTTCCTTTTCCCTTTAATTTTTGTGGTGTCTGTTCCTGCTGATGAACATATTAATGAAGGTTCTGGACATCAGCTTTGCTCACTATACTGATGCTGGCAAATGTCTGTCCTTCCCCAGCTATACAACCTCTGTCTACACAGTTATGTGTTCCAGCAAGGAATCACCTTGTGGAGCCCAACAGGCATCATGCACATGAGACATAGCACCAGCTACAAGATGCTCATTCTCCAAAGCACTTGACTGCAGTGTAGATCTGTCTGTTAGCAGCTCCCAGCCTTCCAAAATCTCCAACACTTCAGAGGGAGAGGAAGTATTTCAGATCAGATTGACATGGAGAGGAACAGGAAAGTGATTTCTAGCTTCCTTCTAGGGAGAACGAATGATGTCCTTCTGTAGAGCCATTCATGTTGCTAGTGACCAGTTCTGTAGAGCAGCTTGGGCTAAGGAGCTGGATGCCTATTACCTTTATTTTTGAGGGAGCCTATGTATGCAACATGGGATGATTGAAAAGCACAGAAACTGATTCCATGTGCCTGATTTTGCATTTAGCACACTACTGCTAGATAAAGGAAAGCTGCCCAGAGACTGTATTCCCCATACACTGAGAATTCAACAGACAGACCAGAGGAATTCACCAAGAGCCATTTGACACCAAGCCATTATGACACAGACATTTACAGTGTGAAAGAAGGAAGTACTGCTATATGCAGGTAGACATTTCATTTCCTACAGGCCACTGTCAAAGACAGGATGATGGATGAGGCAGAGTCTTTGGGCAGATGGGTTTTTCTTCCATCAGATGGGAGGAGGTGTGGCTGCATCAATGGAAGCAAATTGCAGGCAGCAATTACAAGAGCTGCAGTGACAAAACCCACTCATTTCAAGAGTTGTCCAAGAAATGATGACCCAGGGCAACCAGAACACAAAAAAAAGCTGGGAAACCCACACTTAGTTCTGACAGAGCCTTATCAACATTTCTGCCAGAATTTGGCCTTGAGCTACCAGCTGCTCAGAAAGCTTCTTAGAGCCTTAATTGCCCTCTTTGAGTTGTATTAAGTCCAGTAGACAACTCCTTCTAATTAATAGCAAACTTTTTCAGATGCTTTTTCAGAATGAAACACACTCTTGACTTTGCCTTTCTCTTATCTTAGCATCTATAATTAACTAGCACAGAAGTGCCTTACTGAATGTGAATCTACGACTACACCTGACTGTCAGCATAACCCTGCAACTTCCCTCCACTAAGCAGGACTGAGTTGTCTGACATTAGTTCTGAAAACCATTAGGGCAGAAGGAGCAGTCATTGCCTTGGCCACCTGGGCTGGGACCATTCACCTAAGACAGGACAAATCCTGCTACCTTATTGGGAACCCTCTGCATGAGCACCCATACCTCTCTGGGTACCCACAGGTACCCCAAAAATCCATGTCCAGATGCACATGGGGCTGGCAGTGCTCAGGAATATTTTGCCCCAAAACTCTGCAAGGAGGTGGGATACAGCCATCTGCCAATGCTATGTGACATTTGTCAAACTCCTGGTTTTAATTCATGAGATTATTGTAAATTAAAAGCTGTGTGTGCTCTCATGGGTGAGAAAGCTCTACTTGACATAAGGACATACATTTACAAAGCTAGAATGTGCAACTGCCTTGGATTCTTTCTTATTATAGCCAGATCAGTGCTGCATGGATCAGTCCAGCACTGAATGCTTCCTTTCTTTTTCCTTATTTGCTCATGCACACCCTCACCCATCTGGATGGATCTACACGCAGTGACGTATTTCCTTGTAAAAGTGAAAACTCCAGGCATTCCTGTTCATGCAGACTGCGAGTCTGAAGCTTCAGCAGGCTGTGATCTGACCCAGCAGTGCAACCAGCAGCAAGCAAAGGAGTCAGACTCAGAGTAGTGCGAGGGACAGAGGCTGCGATGAACAGGATGCTTCACAGTGCAGGTGACCTGAAGTTGGCCATAAGAAACCTATTAAGATGGTACAGGCACTGGAGATGAGATTGCAGCAGAGCTTCTAATCCTTTTTAGCTTTGCCAAAAATCAAGAGAACTCAGTGAGATAGAGTGTAAAAGTCTGGGTTGTATTTAGTAAATAAAACATGACCCCAGAGGAAATCAAATGAAGACAGAATAACCATTCAGTTTTTCAATTACCTGAGCAATCTCACTGCATTAATCCCAGGTAGCAAATGCCAGCTCTGTACTCAATGAAGAAATCTCCCTGCTGAATCAGTGTTGAGTCCTGCTCTTAATGCCATCTTACTTCCAGCCCCACGCGATGCCGTGAGCAGTTACCCCTTCTCACTGCTGTGATGTACTGTGGAAGGACACAAGTGCACGGTTGAGGTGCCTTTGGTTCTGGATACATTAGTAGAAATAGCCTAAAAGAAAAAATGGCTCAACAACTTCGTAATAATTGATTTTGGGGGAAACTGAATGCTGTTCATTGCACGCTGTTTGCTGCCCTCCTGCTTTGCAGGCTCCTAAACAGAGAAAAAGTAGTAAAATGTTTAACAAGATAGTTGTAGAAATGCAGACTTCAAATATTCCCAATGTTGTGTTGGCACATTATTCTTTAGAATCATGGAATCACTCAGGTTGGAAAAGACCTTAAAGAACATTGAGTCCAACTATGACCTAACCATACTACCCTAACTAACAACCCTCCACTAAATCATGTCCCTGAGTACCACATCCAAATGGTTTTTACATGCATCCAGATGGCAACTCTACCACCTCCCTGGGGAGCCTATTCTAGTGCTTAACAACCCTTTCTGTAAAGAAGTGCTTCCTAATATTCAACCTAAACTTAACCTGGCCCAACTTTCTTTTCATTAAAAGAAAGAAATTGTTTTCAGGGCAGGAAGACTGCGCACCTCCTTTTAATAAATGTGTTTTCTTTTCCCTAATGCTGGAACAGTTCCTAAATAAAGGAAAAAAATGCCATGCTGCCTCTTGTTCTGCAGGTGGTCACCTGCAGCCCTCTGCTCTGCAGTCCCAGGCTCTGATGCGTCTTTTCTTTTCTTGTTTCCACTCTCTCCACCCCCCCAAAGTTCAAGTGAGGGCTTCGGCGTAGCAGAGAAGATTGTGCTGCTCACCTTCATCTCTGCAGTTATCCTGATGGCCATCCTGGGGAACCTGTTGGTGATGGTGGCTGTGTGCCGGGACAGGCAGCTCAGGTGAGCCCACGCAGCCCCCATTGCTGCCACATCCCAAATGGGAGACCCACACATGCAGCTGTGAGTCCAGATCACAGACGATGAAGTGCCACCACCAGCTGTGCCGATGTCACACTGTCTCCTTGAGCTCAGCACCCCTGAGCTCAGATCTGCATTGTGGTGGTGGGACCGCTGTTTCCATCCCCTACTTGCTTTGCACTCAATATCAGAACCAGATATATCAGTTACAAACAGAGCTGAACACAGTGCTCAATTCTGTCTCCCATTACCTTTCTAACAACCCCCTCCAAAGAATGTGCAGCTCAAGCCCTCCTGCATCCAGTGAATGTTCCCAGCAGCCTGGGGCTCTCCTGCAAAACTCCTGTCCCAGGGCTGGCTGCTGCCCCTGGGCTTTGTCAGTTAGAAATTCAGCAGCCTCTGTTCGTGTTCTGCGTGGGATTCTTAATGGATTTAATGCTATTTTATTGTTATGATTCTAAAAGTACTCTTCAAGTTAAAATGATAGCTTCAGTCTAGGTTCTGCAGAGTGCTTTCTGGAAGGATTTTCACAGTATACAAGTTAAAATCTCCCCCAGACTCTCCAATGCATCCCACAAGGCTGAGCCAGATGCAGAGGCCTGTGGGCATTTATTTACCTCCTGCATGTGGGCAGGAAGATGTGTTCATGCAGGAGAAGCAGGGGCTGTTAAGCTGTAAAAACCACAAGCGAGCTGAGGGAGACAATATGAAGTGGGACATTCATTGAAGAGGAGATATTTACATGATAGAGCTAATCAGACCCAATCACAAGCCAAGATCTCTGTTCACATTGGAGGATGTTGTGTTGAAGTTATTCATTTTGTTACCTGTCTTGCAGGAAAATCAAGACCAATTATTTCATCGTTTCTCTCGCCTTTGCGGACCTGCTGGTATCAGTACTGGTGATGCCATTTGGAGCCATTGAGTTGGTCCAGGACAACTGGATTTATGGAGAGATGTTCTGCCTTGTCCGAACATCCCTTGATGTCTTGCTCACCACAGCATCGATCCTGCATCTGTGCTGCATATCACTGGACAGGTATGAGCAGAACAGCAGAGCAAATAACTTTCACTTTGGCTTTCTTCAGTGTTGTTGCTTATCCATAACAGCCTGATCCTGTTGGGTGCTGGGCAGCAGTGAATCTCTTGGTAGCTCTGTTTGGAAAGAGTGGTCTGAATCCTCATCAGCATAGGAAGACTTTGAAGGAAATGAGATTTATATTGGTTCAGCAAGGTGGGTTCTCACCTGGTGCTTGGCACAGTTTGCATTATTGATCAGACACAGCATGTTTTCTCCTTTTAAGTAAAGATTTTAATTAACCTTAAAAATGCATCCACAGAAAAGAGCTGCAGAAGGAGGTGCATTTTGTGCAGGTTGCTATTTCAGTGAGGAAATTGCTGTGCGTGGCTGTGATACTATAATGTGATGGAAAAGGAAAACACAGCAATGATAGCAGGACAGCAGAGCCCCAGGCTGCAGCAATTGAGGATAAGCTCAAGTACAGCAGCTGTGGATGCAAAAACAAAGAGGGGAAAAACAAAAACAAACAAAAAAACTGCTTACCTTGGGAAGGCTTCAGGTAGGCAGGGCTCTCCAGCAAGATACCCTCACCTCCACTGCCAACCCTTAAATGAGGTTTGGGAAGGGGTGGATTCTGGCTCTACCCCTTCCGACCATTTGGCTGCATTGCATGCACCTGACTTCCCCTGGGTTGGCCCTGCCTTCCCACCAGGTGCTCAATCACTGCTTCAGGCTGTGACTTGGCATTTCTGCTATAATGGCAGTGCTGGGTGCTGCTCACTGCTGGGGCTGCAGGAGGGCAGGGAAAGGGTTATGTTGAGCTTAATGAGCTTGGGAGCTGAGGCGTTTAGTAGCCTGTCTTTCCATCCCTTGTCAAAGCAAACCTGACACATCTCTGAAGTGCAATCAGAGCTGCTCTTCCTTCATCTTCCTTCATCTGCTGTTAACCAGATGAACACCCATATTACCGAATGACACGTTTTGACATATATTACTAGTTTATATGGGGAAAGACTTAAAAAACAACCTCCCTCCTGCCTTGAGATTTTATAGGTTTTTTGCTAAGGCATCTGTGTGCAGGTATCTGCTAGGGAAGACTAACAAGGAGGTAATTAGAGCAAGAAAGGTGCATAGGCTTTGTAGGAGAAAAGTTTGAAAAACTTTCTTTTTATTTAAACTTTCCTTGCAAAATTAAAGTGAAGCCAAAATCCTGAAGAAATGACATGAAACAATTTTGTTTTATTGATGGCTGTAATTTTTCAAATGGAAACAACAGACCTTCTCAACTTGAAAAAAAACCTTCCAGACTTGGAAGCATATTTCACAGGATAAATGCTTAGAATAAAACATTTTGACCAGCTGTACTAAAGAGCAGTATTTAAAGCCTTCAGTTGCGTTCTGTGTCAAGATTTCAACAACTTTAAAAATACTATCGCTTAGTATTACTATTAGGAATAAAATAACCATAATCAATCTCACCATTGTCACAACTGATATTTAAATAACAACTTTCATCCAAAGGGTCTGTACCTAGCCAGGCTCCAAAAGGTACTTGATTAACTTCTGCACTGATTGGTGTGGACACAGGGGCAGCACCACCCCGTAATGCATCCCGATAGCAGCTCATGTGCAGCAGTGACGGCGTGTTTCCTTATCTGGGAACAGAGATGGCTGCAATGCAAAGAAGATGCTCATTATCTTAAAAATGTTGACAAATTGCCTCTCTGAGCCAATTAGTGGTGAAGCAGCTGTTACGCACTGCGCTCTGGATGTGGACTTGTTGTGTAAAACGTTGGGGTTTGGTTCCCCAGGCTCTTAAGTGAAGGCTGGAGGTTGTGGAGGCAAAATATCCCCTCCTGCCCATTTTCCCCTTTGCAGTTCCTGGTACACTGTGAGCTCCTGTTGTCCCTTGTGCCCAATGCTGCTGGGACAGCCATGCAGGGTGCTGCCTGGATTTACTGCTGCTGCAGTGTTATCCATGTGGGGACGCAGAAGAGGCATTGCAGTCATACACAGGAAGACTCTATTTTGTAAACGGGTCAGAGGCAGGTCTTGCAAATGCCCAACTGAGTAGAAGGAACTGGAACTGGAAATATATTAAAAAAAAATAACGAAATGAGACAGGTTAGATTATTCTATATTAAATAATACATGCAGAGGAGAGTGTGAACACGTGGATAGGACCACATTTTTTCATTGGGTGCTCTTTTATTCTCTGGCCCCTAAAGCTGTGAGCTTTCTCTGCCAGATCCAGAGCTGCCATCACAAAGGGTGTGGGAGAGACTCCCTAATATTCGTCACTCCCACTGCTGGCCATATTAGACTAAGAACACGGGGTGCATTCAGGGCTGAGCCATGGGAGTGCTGAAGGTCACTGCAAGCCCAGGCTGAGGAAGCAGAGCTGCACTGGCTGCGACTCAGCAGCACAGCAGTAATACCTGGCAGCTGACAGACCTGAAATTGCCAGATGTCAGGGAATTATTTCAGGGCACACAAGCGCTCTTGCTCTTTCACATATGTTTACCATACAGGTGCTGCTTTGCTCTCAAGCAGTGTCTCTTTTCCTCTCATCTGCACATCCTCGGCCTTTATCAGCTGTTGGTAGAAACTTGCATTTCTGGGGCATTTTGGTGTGGTTCTGGAGGTGTTTTTCTCCGGTGAGAATTGACATTCAGCAGGAGCACTGGGAGCAGGGAATGGGCAGCAGCTGGCCATGGGAAGACCAGAGCAGATAGATGGGTGCAGTGCAATGGGGGCTCAGCCCAACCTCAGCCATTCTCCATCACCACCACTTATGGCAGCTGCCTGTGGACCAGTGCTTCTTCTGCAGAGTTTTACTTCACATGTGCTCACTGTTGCCCCTCAGTTCACTCAGACTTTGGTAGAAGAAAAAACTTGGTAGAAGGAAAAACCACTGCATGAGCAGGAGGAGCCAGTGTTACCACTGAGATACAGGGAGAATAGCATTGCAGAGACTTAAGGACAATGGCTCATCTGAAAATGTGAGTCTCCAAGGTATCAGAGGTACATCAGAGCTCACTGAATCCAAATTCTGATGTCACTGGGTAATACTTCTTTATTATTTTTTCCATATTTTAATATAAATGATAGAATTAATCCCAAATTCTTTATCTGTTGCATGCTTTATGCATATCTATCCATTCTTTGTTGTCTCTGCAATAAAAAAAAAAAAGCTGCACTGTGTATATATAGACAAAGAAGCTATGATAGAATCTCTCCAAATAGAATTCACCTGCCAGGAAAGGCAATTTTCTTCTCCAGTATTTGCAATACAATTTGCAGTATAATTATTTCTCAAAGCCTCATGGAAAAAGAAAACCAAAAAGCACTCACTAAAACGACAGAGAGAAACAGTCCTAAATGTCTGTATTCTTGGCCTTATATGCACACATGGCTCCTCTGCTTACCCACACACCCAAAGCATCCTGTAGGCTGCTGCTGCTTGCTCCAGCTCTCCTGGTGTGTCCCAGCCATGGAAGCTTTCCTTCAGGGCTGTGTGTCTGCTGGCTGCTGCTCGCCTGGTGTGTTAGAAACATTGGTATATTTGCTGTGTACAGAACAGAACAGACCTAGCTGTGTGTTTGTGTACATGGGGCTAATCTTACTGAATCCAAACATACCACATAATCACTGCTAAATAAAGGCTAAAGCAAAGCAGATGTATCCAAAGAGTGTTGGAGCACCAGAGTGACAGATGCTTGTTGCGCCATTTACAAACATTAATTAACATTAATGTACTGTTCAGACATCAAATTAGCACAATCCTTTGAGAAAAGTGACGTTTTAGAGCCTTAAACTTCCCTAGAACAGGGGCAGAGGCTGCAGCTGGCCAGGCTGCAGGGCTTTGGTCCTCTGAAGGACAGGGAGGAGGCAGCTGCAGCCAGCTGTGTGCCTCAGGACATCAGCTGGCTGCAGCTGCAGGGACAGGGTGTCAGCGGGCAACCTCGCTGCATTCTAAATAGCTATCAGTAAGTAATTGGGAGTTCAACAGGCTGGCTGTGTGACACAATGCCAGTGTCGAACCAGGCCGTGAGTTCCCCCTGTCCTTCTCAGACAGAAAAGTGCTTGGTCTCCTGCAGTTGGTTGTGTGGTCCCAGCCTCGTGGGCAGGGGATGCGTGGGATATGGCACATGGCTGCAGGATGACGCCGAGAGAAAGCTAACACAGGTCTGCAGAATTCAGGTTGGAAAGCATTACCAAAAATAACGGGGCAGATGGTCACGGCACAGCCTGCGAGAAGCACTGTCCTTTATTTATCTCTACCAAACCACTAGAAACGTGGACACTTATTTTACCACCATTGCCTACAGTAGCCCTGCACACACACCAACCCATGCAGGGATTGTGGAGGAGCCTTCCATCTCCGTTTGGCAACATACGTTTGTTTGTATTACTAGCTAAATTTATCCAATTCCAATTAACTGTTCTCTTCAGCATTTTTTCTCAGTGTAATTATCTCAACACCAGCAGGCCGTTGTTTTTCTAATAAGAATTTAATTTTGTTAGATATAATCATTTTAGGACATTTTTCTTCTGGACCAGCAATGCATAACTTTGTTTAGTTTGGTACAGTCAGAGATCATGGCTTATTTGCTCAGCAGGAAAAAGGAAAAGAGAAAAGAGCCATTCTCTCTCAGAATAATGTAGAAGCCTGGTTATGTGGAAGCTAGAATGTGGTTTTACAGGAATGTTGGCAAAGTCACTAGCACTGTTTTAATTCTGCACAGTGATGAACAACTTCAGGCTCTCTCTCTATGGACCTCCTGACTTTGCCAGGGTTCAGCTGAAGCCTGATCCAGTCCGGCTT